CATTATAGGCGTTTGTGGGGCGTTATTAACGCTCGGCAAACGCCTAGCAACCGCCGCTAAAACCGCGCATGCGGCGTTTGCGGAGCGTTTGCCGAGCGTTAAAAACGCTCCGCAAACACCGGACCAACGCTTGCCAAACGCTATAGGGGCGTTTGGCAAGCGTTGGCAAAACAGCCTAGTGTGAACGAGCCCTAACTGTCACATTGGCTTGTGCTCTCAATCAAACTATCAAACCATCAAATGGCTGGTGTCATAACTGATCATATGTGCAGCACCATGGCAGCTGAAAATCAAACAGAGGCTAAGATGGCAGCTTCCTTGGCAGAAAATAATAGGAGGATTTAGTTCTGCTTTAAAGCAGCATTAAACCTAACAGCAAACATTTATTATATTTCAGCCTACCAACTCTAAGATGTGATGGCTGCATTTGTTTTCTTTTTTTAGGCATATTTTTTTTTTTTATTTTGATCTGGTGATCCAGCCAGTGAATCTGCTGTTTTGCAAAAGCTCAAGCACTCCAGCAGAAGGTATCAGTTTACATGGAAAAAACAAACAATTTTTAGCACTTGCAGGGGTGGTTAAAATGTTCAGCTTTTATTTATTTATCCCAAAAGGAAAACAATGTTTGCTGTAACTGATTATAAAGTGTGAGCTGGAGTTTGGCTTCAGATTGTTTAGTGTATTTAAATCTACTAATACATTTAACACTACCCTCAGCTCAACTGATAATGCTGCTGTCATTCATCCAGACTGGAAGCACTTTAATACAGAAAGTGTGTTACAGGCCAGATCAGATCACCAGGTAAAAAAGCTAAAGAAAACTAATGCAGCCACCACATCTAATGATTGGTTAGCTGCAATACATGACATTTTTTGTTTTGTGTTTAATACTGTTTTAAATTAAATTTTAAAGAAAAACTATACTATATAAGACAAAAAATGGCCTCTTTGCATTAAAGTGGTTCTAAAGGCTCAAGGTTTTTTTTTTTGTACCTTCTGCATTCCGTGTAGCAGCACCCCCAAACACTTACCTGAGCCCCATCGTGATCCAGCGATGTCCACCAGAGCCTCGGTTCTCCGGGGACTCTCACTGCTGATTGGTTGAGGCAGAAGCGGGAGATATTGGCTCCCATTGTTGTTAATCACAGACAGTGAACCAATCAGGAGCGGGAGGGTGCAGGGCCTAGCCGCGGATCTGTGTGTTACTGGATATGCACCTGCGCCTGCTCAGGTGCCCCCACAGCAAGCTACTTGGTGTGGGGGCACCTGACAGGAGGGAGGAACCAGGAGTGCCAGATGGGGACCCGAGAAGAGCAGGATCGGGCTACTCTGTGCAAAAGCATTAAACAGAACAGGTAAGTATAACACACGTTTTTTTTTTTTAATTAAGAAAAAAAAAAGACTTTAATATCACTTTAATGACCCAAAACAAGCAAGCATATGGAGAATTCTGACTTTGCCCTCACTTCAACTGTTGCATCCTTATTCTAATTCAGTAATTCAAAGCATCTTCAGCTCAGGTGTGATCCAAACGTCCAAGAACTACTATGTACCTGAGCAGTAAGAGTTCTAGCTACACGTTTTGCAGAACCTGTTTTTCCCCAGTGCACAAATATATTAGAGACAATCATTAGTAAAAGTATAATTAACTAACAAATACAATCCACATAGAAATTAATTTTTTAACTTGAATCCTCCTGACCTAAAGACAAGTGTACACAGCATAAAAATGGAACATTTCTTCCAATTGAAATTCAGAGTGTTTTATCTGAGGACACAGCATTGCCTCAGGATGTGTGCAAGCTTCAACTTAGTTTTGCATTTACATAGCTCTGAATTTTCTTTGGCACAAAAATCTTGGTAAATACCGCCTAACATTGCATTGTTGTGGGAGACATATGTTTGCTCAAGCATATGCATTTAGTTTTTTTGCTGTGAGGGCCTCAAATCTTGTTACTTTGTACCCTGCAGTCTTTCAATTACTTTCTCAGGTTCTTGCAGTCATATTTTTTCTCTCCTATGTTTAATCATAAGCACACACTTCTGTCCTTTACTGAGTTAGCATTCCTGTATGACATATGGCAGAGACATAAGTTATTTACCATAGTAGCATGGGAAGAATGCTATAATTGCAGTGAAAATTAGTGCAATTGTGCATAAAATACTGCAGGGAGGGAAAGCTCATGGAAAATGTCACACTGTTTGCATAGCAGAGAATTAATTAAAAATCTGATATTTTATCACATCATTATAGAAAAACAACAATGATATGACAAATGTTATGTGCTAATGCACAATTAAAAAAATAAAATGATAGCTGCTTAGCTGTTGTGAAAAAAATACAGAACATTTTGTTCCCAGAACTACTAAAATAAAATAACCGTAATATAGGCCTAATTTTTAAATAGTACTACTAATATACAAATTTTTTTTAAATCACTGCAAGTTGTCTCACTGTAATATTATTTGGTGTATATATGTATTTGGTCATTTGCACAAAAAGAGCTGCTATTATTTATGACTAGGGCAATAGGATTATTTGATACCATTCAGGAGCTACTCTAAACTTGGTAGCGCATTAAATAGGATTCCTTTCAATGATAAACCCAATTGTTTTCAGTCTTGAACCCCCCCCCATGTTGTGCCCTTACTGCACTTTTACTCAGTGGGCTCACACCAAATACAGTATGTGTTCATGATCCAAAGGCTGCTGAAGGGCAATCTAAATCCAGTTGTCATTTTTTTTTAATACACATAAGAAAACAAGACAAAACAAAAAGCTTTTCTTCAATTTTTTGCTTCCCCTAGATTGTATACTTGAAGATGCAGAGTGACTGTGGATGCTTGGGTTAATTTGCCCATATAATCTGTTTCAACCAGTGTTTGACTAATAAAAACAAAATAGAAGTAGGCGCTCACCAAGATTCAATATATAATTCCATGCAATAATAATAACACAATATATATACCAATATTCATATAAGATAAATAGTAAATTATGTTAATAAATGTCCAGGAGTACTTTCAAGTATTCATAGAAGATCCTCAAACACCATGTGTTTTGTAACCATAGCCAAATCTTCTTCCATAATTCCCCAGTGCTCCACCACCGTGCCCAGAAAAAATGCACACTCACCAAATGATATTGGCCAACAGAGTAGCCAGCGAGCATAAACAATCTTTTGTATATCTGGTTAGATGGCCACTCTCTTCTGCCAGGACTTTGAAATCCCATCCACTTTATATGCCATTAATAAATCTCATCCATAATAACGTCTCAGGAAAAAAATCCCAGAAAGAATGCTCATAGTGCAGTAACTTTTATTAAAATTGGAGAATAAGAAAGTGATCTATATGCACTTACATGATAAAGGTGCCAAGGGGGGCACCAACACATTTAGCTCTCTAGAGGAATCACTTCACACTGCCACTCTCATCCGTGGTTTGATATACATAAGATCATTTATGCTCGCTAGCTACTCTGTTGGCCAATACGGTGGTGGAGCACTGGTGAGTTGTGAAGAAATATTTGGCTATGGTTACAAATCAACATGGTGTTTGAGGATCTTCTATGAATACCTGAATGTATTCATGGACATTTATTAACATAATTTACTATTTATCTTATATGAACGTTGGTATATATATTTTGTATTATTATGGCACGGAGTGATCTATTGAGTCCTGGAGAATGCCTACCTTTATTTTGTTTTTATACGTTGTGCGTGTTATTTTGCACTTAAAGGGGCAGCTCTTTATTTAGTGAATGTTGGTTTTGCACCTAACTATAGGATGGCGCTTTTCCAGTTATAAATAGTTTTTGACTAAGCCAAACTTGCGTTTGGGAATTTGCTATATACAGAGGTAAATGGTGATTACAATGTAAAAATGATGCATAATTAATTTAAACAACAACATTTTCACTTAAAATGGTACCTTTGTTTTACAAGCCCAACAGCCTCTGATAATATACCTATGTGTTAGTATAAAGTAGTAAAAAAGTCAAATTTTTTTTTTTACCTTAAATCGGTCTCCGCATTAAAGTAAAGGCTCAAGGTTTTTTACCTTCATGGATTCTATGCTTGAAGGTAAAATAAAACCTTCTGTGTGCAGCAGTCACCCCAGCCCCTCCTAATACTTACCTGAGCACCATAGCGATTGAGCGGTGCGCATGAAAGTCTCGGATCTCCAGGGACTCTCACTCCTCATTGACTGAGACAGCATTACCATTACCTGTCCTACCTCCCACCATCCTAAAATACTTACGTGGCTTCATGTCACATCTCCGGCACTGGCCCCAGCTCCAGCTTCATTCCCCTTGCTTTATGCTTTCACAGGAGAAACTGAGGCCAGCAGACTCATAGGCTTCTGCTGCTGTCAGTCAAATACCTGTGAGGAGGGAGTGACAGCATGGCTTAGTGCCAATGTATGTGTCAATAAGTGCACACAGCTTGGCACAGAAACCAGCAGGAGCATGCAGGCAAGCATGGGTGCCTCCTTAGCACCTAGCTTCCTACAGGAGCACCTAAAGGAGGGGAGGAACCTACAACACTGGTGGGTACTGCGAAAAGAGAAGAAAAGCATTATTCCTGTTCAATATTGTTTCACAGAGCTGGTAAGTGTTACCTATCTTTTTATTTAAAAAAATTACTTTCCTGTAATTTTAACTTAAGAGAAACTCCGGTCCAGCAATACTGCCTGCAGGTCTAACCATCCCCAAACAGCACACTAAAGTGGTGCCCAGGAACAAGTAGTTTACAGCAATAGATAGATGGATGCAAACACATAGACAGGTCATTCTGCTGGAAAACAGGCTCTATCTTCAGTAAAGTTAACCCAAAATGCTGGAATGTTTTCATAGGTTGCAGAGACAAGTGCAAAGTCATACTATCTAATGAAGGTAAGACTGCAATAACTGAAATAGGTAAAAGGATAAAATGAAAATTATGGCCAATATTCAAATAATAAGGTAACAATATCCGACACAGAATTCTGCATACCTTTGTTGTATCATCCACTTCATCTTCATGGACTGAGCTAGATGGTGAAGGTGTGGCAGATTTACTCCCTGGTGGGGAAGGAGAATTATGTGCAACAGTGTTTCCTCCAATATTTAAACCAAGCTGAGCACTCAGCTGTGATTGATTGATAGTAGTCAGCTGACCAGGTGGCATCATAGCTGTCTGTCGTATGTCTTGAGCCTGAACTCGTGGCCTCATAGCTGTCATCTGTGAGTGAGAATACTGACTTCTGTCTGAATTCTGCAAATCCTGCATCTGTTCAAAAAGAAGACAATTTCCAAAAAATACATTTAGATGTAAAAAAAAACATGTATTAAAATAGACATGTATGGGTTACACGTTGTACATATGATTTTCTATAGTATAAAGCATACCGAAGGATTTTTCAGGTAGAAATTTTTCTGATGCATAAATATTTCTGCTATTTTTTCCTGCTCTAGTATTCATAAGCTAAGATTATCTATTGGTTGTAACAGAAAGGTATCCAAATGGGGTACATGCCAAAATGTCCATCTATGTGTGGCTACTTCGAATTTTTGGGATGACTCTTTTTTTGCCAAAGTTCAGAACACAAATATTCCCGGGGGAAAGGGATTTCAGGTAGAGATCTTTCTGATCCATAAATATTCCTGCCATTTTTCTGCTCTAGCATTCATAAACTGAGATTATCTATTGGTTGTAACAGAAAGGTATGTAAATGGAACAGATAGCAAAATGTCCACCTACATGTGGCTACTTTGAATGTTTGGGATGACTCATTTCTTGCAAAAGTTCAGAACACAAATATTCCTGGTTAAAAGTTTGAAAAGTTGTTACTGTACTAACTATCCAAGGTTGGCTTGTCTTACTATAGAGGTTGTCTTTTATTTTTCCTGTTGGCAGTTTCTGATCAATGTGGATAAAACCAAGAACAGCAAAAGATGAAAGCTGCATTTAAATGCATCCAACAATGTTGATCGTAGGTGAATGTGGAAGACACAATTGTAATCTCTGAAAGGTGCATGATTCAACAACCAGATTAAAGGTTTCATATATTTCAAATAATTTCCAAGAATGCTTCGCAACTAAGCTTATTGAACAAATACTGTATCAAAGGAGCATAAAGTGCTAAGAGCCAGATAATATCATGTTTATTAAATCCGAATATACCGTTTTGTACTTTAAGATTATTGATTTAATAAGAGGTAAATTAAAGTAATTCTGTTTCAGAATTAAAAATAAAAGAGATCATTGCAAAAGAAGAGATGTATTGCTTACCTCTGCTGCTTTTTTTAAAATCTCTTCTTTTTGCTGTCCAAAGCCACAGGCTAAATTTTCAAATATGACACATATCCAGGTATGTCAGATGAGTGTCCAGTTGCATGCTGCAATTTCTGCTGCTGGCCTCTATGTCGCTACTGTGTCTGGTAGTGATATAGGCTGATGGTGGAACCACAGCACATGGTGGGGGGAAGCAGGCATCATGGCACCCTGGAAATGTATTGGATCTGCATATTCTGCCTTTGGAAACAAGTCTGGGGATTGGGCAGCAGCATAGGCAAGTATTACATCTCTTATTTTGCAAGGAACTTTTTTCCTTTTTTTAATCCCTCAGCAAAATTACTTTAAATACCACAGACAATATTATTAGGTTATAACACATTAAAGTAGCATACAGGAAAGCAGGGATACTATGGTTCAGTTGGTTATGAAAACCAGGTACATTAATGAGAACGTTTTCTAAGAATCCTTTATCATGTAATAAATGTTTATTTGAAAAACAAAGATTCTAATAAAGAATAAAAAAAAGTTAAATTGCTTATAATTTAAAAAACAAATTGATTCTAAATATCCTTTTCCTTTTAAGCAGCTACCCTGTAGAGGATTTTTTTCATTTTTCACACACGTTAAAATCTGCATTTTTGGCTATAAAGTTACTTAAAACTTCCATTTTATATTTTTTGAATGTAGAGGCCCTGTAGAATAAAGATATGGTAGTTGCAATGTTTTATATCACACAATATTTGTGCAAATATGGATTTATCGAATCCATATTTTCAGTTAAAAAACACTAACATGAACTTTATTGCACACACACACACACCTAATTCCCCAATCTGTTTTCACAAAATAAAATATAAGGTAATGTCAAGTAAATAGATACCAAACATGGAATATTTTAAATGGATAAAACTCCAACATATCTGGGTAGTGACTGCTCCCTTCTCAACTAATGCATTATTGATGGCCCGACACCAACACTCACTGGCCAATAAGAATGTTTTGGAAGCGAGCAAGCTTCATCGCTACTCTAAACTACTAGTTCCTGATATTTGCCATATTAGAACAGTCCAGCATTTTTGTAGAGAAGAGGCACTGAAGGGTGATGCATCTACTCTAGGAGGAAGTGCATGCACATAAACGCATATAGGATTGTAAATCTGCATAAGTAACAGTAAAGGCCATTCCTTAAATGCATAATAAATGGGACATTCTCAGCATGCAAATTAAGACTCCTGGATATTTTACTGCTTCTTACTACAGCTCAGTGGCCAAACCTCTGATCACTTGGTGATTTCCTACATATAATGCAACACTATTGTTTGTATACCACTTTTTTAATTTTTGTAGAGTGGCCTGGGACTGTAGAAAATGGCAATCTACTGTGCAAATAGAAATAAACTTCCATGTTTTTTGGATATGGCCTCCTAATCATAACTCAACAACTTCACTGTTGTTTAGAAAGGTCGACCGTCATAGTGATGGGCCAAAATCCAGTCATGAGAGGTTGGCTACAGCAGTCAAAACTGAAGCTGGAAGTTATTTTCATTCCAAAGCATATCAGAGGGCTTCTTAGGATGAATAAATAACTCTGTTGAAGATGATGATCAGGCTTCAGATTGGCTAATTCTTTCTTTCAGCAAGGATCATGTGACCTAAAGTCTGGGCTTTTTGTTATGTGAGCAGCACTGGAGCAAGTATTTGGAATTATTTTAGTATTTTACTGCTTTTGATTTGCCAATCTGTCTGTTAAGGCAACGTCCACTGTATACTTTAAGGCAAATAGCAAAAGGGGGACCCTCCCATACACATGCACACCTTTTTTCTGTATCTTTTCTAATCATATACCCTTAACCCTACATACTCTAGAGGGCATGATGTAAAGAAAATCTGACTGTACAAGCACTAAGTTATATGTACATGTAGTGGTAAAGTGCATGATCCCTATACTATGTGATTATATGAAAAACAAAGTGTTTAAATTGTATTAGTAAATAGATGGTGTGATTTATCAAAGTGTAAAGAAAGCGTATTGTACTATTGGAACCAGGGGCGGACTGACCATTCAAGCATTCCGCACTGCCCGAGGGCCCAGGGTCAGTGGGGGCCCCATAGGCTTTTTTTGGGTGTGGGCAAGGACACAGGGGCCCCATGATCCCCTATTGCCTGGGGGCCCCATGAGTTGTCAGTCCGTCCCTGATTGGAACTAATTAGATCCTGTATTTTTGTTTGCAGTTAAAGATGGAGATTGAAATAAAATGTCTAACTGACTGGACAATGACAACATGCGCTTTTATAGCAGGATTCATTAACCCACTTAACATTTAAATTTAATTTGACTGCAAATAAAGAAATGACAAACCTCATGATTATTACTTCCGAGGACTTTTTAGTAGTTCTTGGGAACCCTACTACAGGTAAAACATTAACTGCAAATACACATTCTAGCTGTTTGCCAAGGAGTAGACTCTGAATGATGTAAATGTTTTGTGCTTGTCATTTATGTATGAAAAAAGAAAAAAAAACAGTATTGGCCATTCTCTGCTGGATATCTGCTTATTTGCCCTGTACTAAAGGATGATGATGTATGGAAAAATGATTAGTTTCTGAGGGCAATTATCTTTCCATGCATTTTTGTATTTTAGTCTTTGTATTAAATAAAACGCATCTGCTCTAGTAACTGCAGAATACTGCATATTTAGCTATATAAAATGTTATAATAAATGTATAAATGTATATGTTATTTTAGGCAGTTTAAATGCATATATATATATATATATATATATATATATATATATATATACACAGTATATATATTAAGTATATGTACACACACACATTGCTCACAGGAAAACCCTTGACAGTAGAAGCGTTGTTTTCAGATATAAGGAGGATCTGCTTTATGGCAGATTACTAAATCCTGTTATGATCTCGATGAAATCACTTTCCTCTCTGTCTGTCATTCACCATGTGGGATTACCAGCCTGTACATTTACTGTAGCCTTCCAAAGTAAGTACTGTATATAAAAATAAATACGTATACCAGTTTCACTTGCAGTCAAATATGTTCCTTGCAAAGCTATCATTAACTCTGCCTCTAGCAGACAATCTATATCAAAACAGTTGTACACATAAAGCTCTAACTACATCTTGACTGAATCTTTTTTGATCCAGCTGTTTTACTGAATAGCAGTTGGTGAACAGAAAGCAAGAACATGGGTAGCCCTCAGGCCCTGTTTGCTAATGTTACTCACCAGCTGCTGCTTTCTGTGGTGTTAGCAGGCAAGACCTGGATGAATGCCAGTTTCAGCAAGAGCAAGAGACAGTGAAGCATCTTTGAAGCCCTTTCATTTACCCCTGTCTGTCATTGCTTGACACTGAACATTGTTGAGTTCTGTCCCCAAGGCTACTAAAAGATCATGCTGGAGCTGAACTGTGATCAGAGTGGACCCTACTGCAGAAAAAAATTTGCTTTGGGGAAAACGCTTTGAAAAAGTACATAGAGAATAAAACACTTTCAAAGACTGTCATTAGATATGTTTTATTATTCAGTATTGGAACGTATGATCCAGTTGTAGATCCGCAGGTCTACAAGATGTTTTATAATACCACCACCCATCCTGTTACTTGTTGAACATTACTGAATTACATTAAAAGGAAATAGCTTATGCACCTAATCACTACATTAAAGCACTGAAGTTCATTTTATAATCTTTGGACCTTAAGGACTGACTAAATCTTTTGGATTATGGATGAGTAGATCAAAAAGGATATTTATGTCTTGAGTTTACTTATTGGTTATATTTCTTTTAAATCCTTTCGAATCAACAAGGAAGACTTTTAGGTGAGGAGCACAACAGCACATTTGGAACAAATTACAAATTCAGAACTGATATACTGTACGGACGTATTTCTACATAATAGATGTTTACTATGTACATTTTAATAAGCTGTTTTATGATTAGGTCGTGAAAATAATCAAACATACTGTAAAC